AGGCCTACAGATGAGATTGCGATAGACCGGAAAGATCCTCATAAAATCTTGATTGTTTTTAACAGTCTTACAATAGCTTATTATGATTTATCAGAAAAGAAAGTTATACAACATTGGGATGTGCAACAACCTATTACGGTGAGGTTTCTTTTGCTTTGCAGTGAAATTAGTTTTGATGTGTTATGTTGGATTGATAGTAGGGTATGTTTTTGAGCTCTAAAATTTGATTTTGAAAGACCTAGCGGTACTTTTCACGAACTCCATCTTTAGAGTATCGCTTGGTGTGTTGAAGAAGATCAGTTTATTTGCTCACATAAGGATGGCTCTATCGACGTTTGGTCTCTAAATCGTTCGGATCCCGTGGAACCTCCTACCAGCTCTTTTGGCCCTTTCCCTTGCACTCCAGTTACAAAAGTTCTATGCGGTCAAGTTGCGAGGTAAATAGCTGATTTTTTTCCTATTTTTTATTGTCAGATTAACGTGTAAATTGCGGACGCGTGAAAGAGACGTACGCAATTGAGACGTACGCGGGTAATTTAGTAAAGAAGCACTGGTTTAGCTTTATTGTAGCTACAACTGCGCAGTCAAGTTTTATTCCGGTGGCATGCCCAGGGCATCTTACGGGGATCGTTTCACGATTTCAGTGCAGCGTCCGGAACGACTAGTTGTTTTTGATTTTGGGAGTCCAGTGGTCGATTTTCAACTTTATTCATCTGCAAATTCTTCAGATGGTATTTCATTTACGTTTTGTTTACAAAGAGTCATTTAATTTGTAAACTTGGGGGGAGGGGCTTGCTCTTATTTTTGAAATCGATCTTTAATTTACGTTATACATATCATGAAATTTTTGACTTGTTTTTTTTTCTGTCCTAGTCTATTTTACCAATCCTTAGGTAATAATACTCCACTTGTTACTGCTTTGGTGGTTTTATGTGAGCAAGAATTCTTGTGCATTGATTTAACGGATCCGAATTGGCCCGTGTTAGACCTGCCGTATTTGAACCCCATTCATTCCTCCCAAGTGATGTGTATTCTGCATAGTTCTGAGGTAGAGGAACACGTGTGGAAGGTTTGACTTATATTTTTTTATTCGAGAGTTTTTTTTTTGCAGATTTTGTTAAAAGTTGCTGCAAATTTTTTTGAAATTTTTGAACTTTGTCTTTATACAAATACATTTTTTTTTTCACATCTACTTTTATTGGCTTTTAGAAATTGTAGAGTTCGAGTTATTTGAGTATATATGTACTGTTTAGAAAATTATGCTTACAAGTGAGTCTCAAAAGAAGCACCGAGAAAGCGTCAAATGGCCCATTAATGCAGGAGCTAATATTAAGGCCCGTGAAATATGCGCGTCTAGTAACGTCGAAAAACGACAACTACTCATTACTGGGTAGAGTTTTTTTTAGCGGGTATAAATGTAGTGTTTTTTAACTCACTACTATTTTTGAAAAATTCTCATTTATTGTGAAAGTTCATAAAAAAGTAGCTCAGGCATGAGAATGGTATGGTGAAATTTTGGTCTGTTGGCTCACCAAGTATGCGACACCTGTTGACTGTTGATACCGCCAAAGAGTTTGAGGGATATATTTTTCGTGATGACAATCAAAGCAATAAAAGTATTGGAGTTTTTTGATTTTCACTTTATATTTTTTCTGGCGTGGTGATTAATAAGTATTTCACTCTAGGGAGATCGGGAGGTGTCTCGGATGGTACTGAATCAGATGATTCGGACGAGTCATCTGAGTGGCCGCCGTTCCGTAAGGTTATTTTTTCACCTTTTGTAAACCTTATCTTTGTATTTTGTGTCCTTTTCTAGTGCGCAAAAGCCTTTTTTTGTTTGTGTCAAAATTTTCTTTGTTTTTTAGGTGGGCCTCTACGACCCATTTTGCGACGATCCACGACTTGCGGTGCAGAAGTTATTTTTTAGTTCAACGACTGGGCATCTTGCTGTTGGTGGAAGAGCAGGTCATGCTGTACTTTATAATTTAGAAGATGATGCTCTGGTAAGCTGTTGATCAAAGAAGTTTGTTTGCCTTCTAAATTTTTTTGGTTTCTTCGCCTTTTAATTTCTTTCTCTTCTTTGTTTCGTGTTCTAAGTTTAAGTTCCTTTTTAGACTGAAGTGTCAGTTCAAAGCGTTGATTTCGAAATTATTGAAGCATCAAAAATATCGCAGTCAACTCATCAACGTCCATTACCTCCTAGAAAGTGTTCTTTGCCATACGCTGCTGGGTATCAGCCCTTCCGGCAAGATAATTCCCGAAGGTAAAGTGTTATCGATGGGAAAAGGGAAATTTTGTAGATTAATATTTTGGTTTTGACGTTTTTTGTCTTCAATAATTTTTGGAGGCACTTAAGCATTGCAGTTACATGTTTTTTTTATTCTTAGAATTCCTTCTAAAAATTGACAGGAGAAAGGGATGGCGTGAGCTTCGTTTGGAAATTCTTTATTTCATTTTTTTTTTTTTTTTATTAAATTCAAAATCCTATTTTATCAAATTTATTCATGAATGTTATATACTGAACTGTGTTCACCTTCTTTTAGTTTTATTGTACAGTTGATGCCTTCAACTCCAGTCACTGCACTCAATTTCTTAGAATCTCGAAACCTCTTAGCAATCGGGTGCGAGTTTGGATTTGTATTGTGTGATATGGCAACTCAAACTGCTTTGGTACGGAAGTCGATGACGTCGGGAGCTGGTATTTATGAGTTTATTCTTGCCCGTATTTGTTATTTTTTGGTTTTTTTGCATTTCTGTTTTCTCCTTATTTATAAGCTCCATCTTAAGCAAGTTATTTTGAAACGATGGGTCCGGTTTAATTGCCTTAAAGAGCTTGTGCTTCTTTTAAAGAAATCTGTCTTGAGCAAACCCTCCGACTTTACTTGAAATCATGTTGTCAGAGTTTACCCAAAATCATTGTTTTTGAGCTACAAAGTTTTATGAAGAACGATGTTATATTGAAAAGCACTAAGCTTTTCAGAGAAATAGTCGGGTTTAAGATGTACATTATGAACCTTTTTGTCCCAGTTTGTGAATTGTCTTCTTCATGCAAATCCGAAATTAGTTTGCTTATTTGGATTTGCCGTTTCAAAAAAAAATTTTTTTTAATTTGTGCACTTTATGCAATTAATCACCATTTTTAGCTCGGCCTGTAGTCTTTTTCTTTTTAGAAGTAGAAGGTATCGCCACCACAACCACGTTATCTAGGTTTAGGAGTATGAAGAAGTCTATTCGCCAGTCATTTAGAAGGAAGAAAAAAGTGCCTCAGGTCGGTTTTTAATTTTTTTTTTGGGTCAGCTTTTGTAGATTGTCTCGGGGTGAAGGCGACTTGCAGATTAATTCTTAGCTAGAATTAAGGTATTGTTTTCAGTCAACTCCTAATCATCAAGTCGAACCTGAATGTTCTAATGCAGCCGATGGTGCTTATGAAGTTAGACCTGTTGAAAGACAGGTAGCAGCACGGACCGAAAATACGTTTAATGGTAATTCTTTGAAATTCCTCTGTTGCTTCTTTCTGTTTCAACAGCTTTGAAGTTCTTTATCTGAACATATTCTAAATCATTACATATCATTCTTACTTCCCTGCAACAGATTGGTTGTTTTTTTGTAGTTGGTGATCCTCTACCTTCCTGCATTCGGACCTTGAAGTTCTTTAATGCTTATGTAGTTACATCGTCATCGAAGTGTGACAGTCTGTGGGTCGGCACGAATGAAGGTTCTGTTCTACTTATTGCACGATTTGTAGAGTTATTAGTTGTGATTTCCAAAGTTATTTTGTTTTTAGGTGTTATTTTGTTGTATTCAATCGCTGATGATGCTACGAACCCAGAAGATGTATGTGTTCTCTTAAAGGAACTTCATTTGCAACATCGCGCTCCTGTTATTGATTTTGAATGCGCTACTTCAGATGGTTCCGCTTTCGGAAAAGTAGGTTCTTATCTTTGTAGTTTCTTTCGAATTAATATCTTGCCTCTTTCAAAGCAAAAAAAATTTTTAGGTTATATCAAACAATTCACGGGTCACCGTGTATACCGAGGAACAGATAAAGAATTTTTCTTTACCAACCCTAAGGCCTTTGAAATTTAAATACAAGTTGACGAGCTTAGAGGGGTCAAGACTCCGCAAGGCTTTTCCATTAACTTTGCGAAAAAATTCAAGTGAGTTAGAGTATAAATATTATCGTTGTTTTTGTGTGAAGAGACCAACAGGAAGTTGTTTATTATTTGCTTCTTGTGACTTGCTATTACTATATGTTGTTTAATTGGGGATTTCAGAGAGAAGCGTTTCTGAGAAGTTTGTTGCCGTGGTCACAAATCAAGGTGAAATAATCCTCTTCACTGCTTTCGGATTACAGAGATGTGCGAAGGCTTGTTACACGAAGGTTTTTTTTTTGATTTTGTGAACTTTTACGGAAATGTAAGGCTTTCTTGTTTGTCAGCTGATCAGATAATTGACACTCATTTGATTGTTCTCTGGTACGTAGCATTTTGCATGTTCTATTGTTTTATCGTTTTTTCGACTTTTTATACGACTTCAATTTTTTTAGGCAACAGATGTTTGTGGCATTGCATCTTCAGTAATATCGAAACACGGCGAACTTTTTTTTCTCAGATGCGGTGGTAGCGAAATTCAGCGTGCAAGCTTAACAGCAGCTCCACACATCAATCTTTCTTCTCCCCTGAAAGACCAGAAATTCCCATTAGTCGAGAATTGAACTTTCATTGTTGTTTTTGTTTTGTTATATTTATTGTTTATGTACAAATATGTTTCACTGGCATGTTAAACCAGGTATGTTTTAAATGGAAACTACTGGCTTGAGGTCTCCCCCTTGCAGGATTCCCCGACAACTACTTGTAAATTTTCAAATGACATGCAACAATTATTTGGAACTTGTCGTTCAAAAATAAAGCGCAAATAAGTTTTTGTCCTACCATTTTTAATGGGGCTTTCTTGTTCAGGTACTTTCCTTTTTTTCGCGTTGTTTTCATTTTTTGTCTTTCTGTTTGCAAAATAATCATTTGGTTCTGTGATTGTTTTTTTTTTAAATGTTGTTTTTGGAATGTAATCGTAATTGTGGAACCTCGTACATCATTTATTTTCTTGGGAAATTAGGAGTCTATGAATTGAAAAATCGATGGGTTTTTTTTTGGATGGATTTTATTTGTTTTGATCTTTGCGTTTTGTGTTGCTGTACTATGTCGTTTTAAGATTATTTGATTTTTGAATTTTAATTGAGGAGCTTGTGTAAAATTGAACTTTTATCCTTTTTTTTTCCTTTTTTTCCTTTCTTACGTAGTCTCCTTATATTTACTTTCTCCTTTTTTTGTTCACTTTTTCACAGTTTTAAAAATTCCTAACCTCAGTCAAATGAATGTAGACTATGTTTTTTCCCATGTTTCTTCACTCAAAGATGTAGGAACATCTGTTTGATATCGTTTAGTTGATGTTAATATTGTTTGCCTTCATTTGTTAAGTATTTTGCTTAACAGTTGCTAATTGCTGACAAAATAATCATCACACAATTGTTGTTATTAAATGTAACTAATAAATTGTTGTTTTAGGCGCAGCTGCTTCAGTCACTTTTTTATAACATCTGGGAACGACTGCTTATGTTATTTTGTGTTACTGATATGAGTAATGTGAATGTTGTTCAGCGGTAGATAGTTTGGAGAGGTAGAGACATGAGTTGGTTTTTTTTTTTATTGGAATTTGAGGAAGTGATTTATAGTGAAGGAGTGAGAAACTAACGAAATGAGTAAAAAACCAAAATCGGTTGTTGTGGGATTGCTATCATGGTAGTTTTCTTGTATACAGAAACAGCGGTTTTTTTGTGTTATTATTTCAGTAAGGATTAGCTGATATCATATTTAGTTGTAGACCACTGAATACTCTGAAAGGTGAAAAAAAATATGTTTAGTGACTGATTTATTTCAAGGAAGTGACTACACGTCATCAAAGTTAACCAAATTATTACTGTACTTAGTGCAAAATTGTTTAGCAGTAGCAGATGGCAGTAGTTTAAGAAGTCGTCAGTAGCATTACAGTTGTTTGTCAAACAGATATGACAACATTTTTTGTTATCTTTATGTTACAGGAATTTTTATGCTAGCTAGAAGAAAGCACCAGTGAAGACATCTGTTAACTATGGGTGTTAATATTATCATTAGTGTTAAAAATCTAGCAGTAGTCTGGAAAATAAATAAGTAACTGTAACTAGTAATAAAGATTTATAGTCGACATGGTACTGTGTTATGCTAGCATTACAAAAATCGGTAAAACAGTAACAAGTAACAACTCGGTAACCAAGTATAGAATGCTGTTGACAAGCATCTGCACCACCGATCGGTAATACGGTGCAGCCACGAGTCATCGTTATAATACGGCTGTCTTGATCAAAGAAGCTGCCAACTGGAAAATTTTAAGTTAACTGTCAGCAGTTATCGGTGATGCTAGAAATTTTTTTATTCGTTTTTTTTTATTTTTTACTCAATATTTTTATACCAAACAAATATTATTCAAAAAAATCTGTAGTAGTAGTACTAGCAATTAGATTCCAATTTTTTATGGAAATATTTGAATAAAAACGAACAAGCAAAATTCAAATTCTCTTTTAGTTTCAATTAATTGTTGATGAATTAAATGATTGAAACAAAAGTGAAGAGGTGAAGTAAATCATGTTTTAGTTTTTTATTTTTAATCAGTCTATCAATATCTGAAACTGGTGAATATTTGATAGTCTAGAAAAACTAATTTGATTGAATTTCTATAATAAGACGTATCAGTATGTTACAGTGGATTTGAAATTTTATAGAGGCTTAATGAATTCATTTCTATGCGTGTGTTATTTGTTTAATTGAATAAATCCTTACATTTATCAACACCACCAGAATATGTTGCTATTTTGACACAACCAAAAAATCCATATGAACAACTGGTACTTGACATTTTGCAGTCTTGGCCATTTGTACTGCTACATTCATAACAGGTTATAGCTTCACAACTGGGTATACCAAAATTGAGCAGCAACAGAATTGCACAAAATACTATTTGGTACATAAATAGTTAGTTGAGTTTCTTTTTCTTTTAGACGAATTATAATTAATGCTTTATTTCTGCAATTGTATTTTTCTTATCTTTTGCTACCTAAACACGAGTATTTTAGACGGAAGTTTACGAGCTTGAAAAAATTTGTAACAACAACAACAACAACAACAACAACAGCGATGAAATCGACGGCAAGTTTAAAAATATCTTGTTAGTTTTTAAAAAGAAAAAATTTCACATGGTAGATTGATATAAAAGAATGCAATTGTTGATTGGGTTCAATTCTATAAGCCCCATGTAAATGACAAACAGTTGAAAGTATATGTCATTCCAGCCAAATAGGTATCACTTGATAAAACATTTCTAAGAACGATGAATAAGTTTTAAACCTCTAAAAAGGTCTACATTTCGACTCATCTTTTGCAGATAATGTACAATAGTTCACAGCAAATAGTAAATGTTCCATGATTAAACAAGAATATAAAAATTAATACCGCTTTTTTTTCAAACATTATTATTATTTTTTGTAGTTCTTTGGACAGAATAAGAAAGAATGTCTGTTAAAGATTAAAAATAAATTGGAAAATCTTGGATTTGGCTGTAAATGTATGCATTTTGTATGATAGCAAAAAGGCGACCAACGACTGCCTGTACAAGTAACAGAAAATTTAAAGTTAGCAAAAGAAAACCAATTTTATCAGTGACTACAATCACCTTTAAAAATTTGATTAATGTAATCGAAATCTGTAGAAAAATGTTTAAGAAGGAAATTTTTTGAAATTTTAGGAAAGTTTATTTAAGCAAATAAACCACGGAAAAATTCCTTGAATCTTCAGACATTTCAGTGGATGAACATTGCTGTACAAAAAAGTGGTCGAAAAAAAAATTCAAAACAGTTTGTTGAAACCATTTACTTTTGGTGTCTTAGTCAGCTTATTTTTTTTTT